AGCGCTGCCCCTCCGGCCGGAGCCCGGCGCCCCGGGCCGAGGGCGTGGGGAAGGGGGAGAAGGAGGCGAAGCGGGGAGCCCCCGGCGGGGAGCGGGGGCAGGCGGCGGCGGGGAAGCGCCGTAGCAGGGCGTGGGGAAGGAGGGGTGGTGATGGAGGTGGCAGGGAGCGCGGGGGGGGCGGTGGGAGAGGCGGTTCTGTAAAAAAGACTTTCTCCCCTTCTCTTCTGTCAGCCTCCGGGAGGACTCTCGTCCTGACTCGGTGAAGGTTCCTTCTCCCTCTTCCCCCCAGCCCCTCATCCCTCCTCGGCGAGGCAGCCCACCCGGGAGGGCTGGAATAGCAGCCCTCTGCCGTGTGCGTGTGTGAAGTTGCTGACATGACTGCTGCTGGGTCCCGGTGCACCGGTAGCGGCGGGGAGCCGGATTTAAAGGGGAATTGTGCTGCAGACAATGCACAGCAGCAGCATCTGGAGCAGCCCTGGGGACCGGCGCTCGGGTTTTGACATTGCTGCACACACGGCACCAGCCGCAATGACAGCAGCTGCCTGGAGTGGCTGCAGGCAGCAGGCAGGAGCATGAAGTAGAGAGATCACTGCAGTGCTCAAGATGAACTCCTCTTTGGTTGGCAACCAGAGTGGCCGGCCGTTCTGTCTCCTGGCCATTAGCTATCTGGAGACCATCAATTTTTGCCTCCTGGAAGTGGTTGTTATTGTGTTCCTCATGGTGCTGATTATTTCGGGCAACATTATCGTGATATTTGTCTTTCACTGTGCACCTCTGCTGAACCACCACACCACCAGCTACTTTATCCAGACTATGGCGTATGCTGACCTCCTGGTGGGCGTGAGCTGTCTGGTGCCTTCTTTGTCTCTGCTGCACTACCCTATTGTTTTAAGTGAGTCCTTGGTTTGCCAAATCTTTGGTTATGTGGTGTCAGTGCTGAAGAGCGTCTCCATGGCCTCTTTGGCATGCATTAGCATTGACAGATACATTGCCATCACGAAGCCGCTGACCTACAACACGCTGGTTACCCCGTGGAGACTTCGAATCTGCATACTGATCATTTGGCTGTACTCCTGCCTGGTCTTCTTACCCTCCTTTCACTGGGGAAAGCCTGGATATCACGGGGATGTGTTTCAGTGGTGTGCCAATTCCTGGAGCACCGATCCCTATTTTACCCTCTTCATTGTGGTGATGCTCTATGCCCCGGCTGCTTTCATCGTCTGCTTCACTTACTTCAACATCTTCCGCATCTGCCAGCAGCACACCAAGGAGATCAACGAGAGGCGAGTGCGCTTCAGCTCTCAGGATGGCGAGGCTGGGGAGGCACAGCCCTGCCCGGACAAGCGCTATGCCATGGTTCTTTTCCGCATCACCAGTGTCTTCTACATCCTCTGGTTGCCCTACATAATCTATTTTCTGCTGGAGAGCTCCAATGTCTATAGTAACCGCGTTGCATCCTTCTTGACCACTTGGCTTGCCATTAGCAACAGTTTCTGCAACTGTGTCATTTACAGTCTCTCCAACAGTGTCTTTCAGAAGGGACTTAAGCGTCTCTCGGGGGCTATTTGTGCCTCTTGCGCTAGACAGAGGGTAGCTAAGGACTCCTCTACCTCTAGGAGTAAAAGATCTTCCAATGGATGTCATGTCTAAGACGCCTATCAGCTGGACTGGAAAGTGCAGGGACAATTCCGTAAATTGCAAAATAAGTTAAATATGATTTTAAGATGTCCAGATTTGCAAAAAGGTTTCTGAGAAATGCTGCTGACATAGAAGAATCAGGAGCACATATCATTGTGGTTTCACTTTAAAAAATTATTGCTGTGGAGGAGGCTGTGGAGTTTCACCTCCATATTCATTTTTAAGAATAAAGCTGTATCTTGACACTTACCTCTCCAGCTGGTGTGACTGAATGGAGTGGGTGTCTGAGAGCTTCGGCAAAATGTAGTCTTTCTTACAGCTTTACTAGGTTCTTTTGAGATTCGTGCTTCACATGTAAATGATAGATCTGAAGTGGAAATGTCACAGTATATGGTATATTACAGGGATTTTTTAATATATGCCAAAGTATATTGACACAATGTTCCAGCTTCATAACGGAAGGGGCCAAACAATTTGTTTTTCAGTGCTACCTAGACAGGACTTTTAGAACAGTAGTGAACAATGTGAACATTTTAGTGTGAACTTAGGGTCTTATTGAGCCATGAGTGCAGCGATGTGATCTGAACAGTCATACGCTTAGAAGGACTGATCTGGCTTCCATGCCCCATTTCTCTGGTAGGATGCATGTGTGCGATCAGAGTACGGCATCTGCATTTTCCTGTTTGTTGTGAAGTAAGAAGAAAAACTTGGATCAGACCAAATTTAGCAGTTAAATAAAACGTGTTTTGATAAGCTAAGAGAAAATACATGTCGCTTTATGATACCAGAGTTGTGGCAGCCACTCGAGGATGATGCCAACATGTGAAAATTATTCTCAAACCAGTGGAGAAATGCCATGGTTTTGTATGTGGAAATTTTCTCAAGAACAACTTTAAAAATAACATGTTCCCCCCCTTTTTTTTTTTTAATCTAAATTCTTCTGATATTTTACATACTAGAACTTAAGGGGAAAGGAAAGAAAACAATTGCCTTCTAAACAGCTAAGGGAACTATGTTGTAAATTTAACTGTAGTATTTGAGTTATTCCTAAGTGCACAGAGCTAAATTAGAGACATTTTTCTTTAGCCTTCGTGGGATTAAAGATGGTTTGAATATAGCAGGAGCTAAATCCTGTTGGCAAACGCGTATCTAACTGGTCAAAGTCAGTATCTGAGAAAAAAAATCTCATTGACCACAGCTTTTTCAAGCTAGCTTAGATAAAAAATTTTTGAGAACTGTAATGCTGTTAAGAAGGCAGTATGGCCCTCAAATTGGTTAGTTTTTCCTGAAGAATATCCTTGTCTTTTTACTGATGCCATATTGGAAAATGAAAGTGAACCAAGTATTCCTGTAATAATGGATTACAGTCTGCATCGTCTTATCTCACCCTATCCCTGGTACAGGGATATCCCCCCCCGCCACACCTCTGGTCTGAGAGCACGTTATACACCGTGACAGTCCGCAGTTCGCTTCTGTCATTGTGCTTCCAGTCGGTGCATTGGACTGCTGTGAGCCTGGGGAATTCTGTGAGCTCGTGTGTTATAGCTGGTGTGTTCTGTTAGTCATAGTGGGAATGAAAAAATAGTAGGGAAAAGTAATCTAATTTTTTTTAGGATTGGGGTAATTCTCTTGGCCAAAGGGAAGACTCTCTATTTTTGTTCAATGGTTCCAGGTCTGCTGTTGTGATAGATCAAGACCATCCTCTTTTTAGTACTCTACCTTGTCCCTCCCGCAAGCATACACATACCCTCCTCTCTGGTCCGCTGTGAGCCCCAGCCTCTTACTTTCCGTGCTTTGCTCTGGAGGATAACAGGTTGTGTCTCTGTCCTGTCACGTGTGATGATTGCTACGAACCATCCCGCTTGCTGCCCGTCCACGTTAACTCCGGTACAGTCTTGTGAGGCTGCCAGTGAGGAAACAGCGAAGAAAAGGGAGAGCAGCAGGATGAAGCACTCCTGGCATGGCTTGTACTTGTCAGCACTCACAGATGATAGACATGCGTTCCTCTTATGGATATGTGTGTATACCTGTTCCTGGGGAGGATGGGGCAGAACCCCCTGCTATTGCTGCCTAGTTTTGGTTTGAGAGCCCTGTTACAAAGCGCATTTAAGTCGTATCTTGGTCTGCTTTCAACTTATTTCATCCGTAGTCCAAACCTCTCAAGATAAACTTCCTCCTTAGTTCATCTGAAATTTTAAGAACAAAGGTTGTCTAAACCCTGATGCCTTCACAACATTTCTTGTTATCTTTTGTAATAAGACCGTGTCTAGAGCCAGGGCTTGCGCTGTGATCCTTTACAGACAGGATAAAGGTGATTTGTTCTGCAGAGCTCTTGCAGTCTGAATTTTGGTCAGAGGCACAGACAGCTGTGGGGGGAGCAAAGTGGAAGGGTGTAGTGAGTCATTTATAAATGGTATAATAAGCTCACAGCACATCAGCTGGCTAATTGTTCTCAAGTGTTTTGTAGGTATTATGGCAAAGGTGGGCTTTGGGGAACAGTTTAAGGGCTTTAGTCACCCATATCAAAGTGTGTGTGTGTGATATTTTTGGAACAGCCTCTCAGGTAAACTCCCAATAGCTTTTCTCTGACTCTTCACCTTATCTAACATTTCCAAGTCTTTGAAGTGATGCAATCTATCATTGAAATAGCATTTGGTTAAATTTAGTAGAAGAAAAGAATCTGCTAGGGCCTAAAACCCCCAAAATGGCAGTTTCAGGTTTAAGTGGAAGCTGGAGAGCAAAGACTGCCTTCCCCCCCCCCCCCCCCCCCCCCCCCGGGGCAGTGACTTATAGTT